AAATTTGTCTTTTCTCGAAATTGTCTGTTCATAAAAATGAATTATCAGTCGCGTTGCGTCATGGTTGAATTAATTTATAATAAATAAAAAAATTAAAAAAAAAAGAGAGAAGGGTAAAACTCTTTGTGAGAATGATTATTTAAACGTAGGTTACAAATTTTCACGCGCAACGGTGAACGAGCGTGTATTATCTGCCGTGGTATCAATCAAACCCAAATGATTCACGGGCATCGTCACCAGCAACGCGCGGCGCATGACGAGCGCGCGTCCCGAGGCTAACGAGGAGCGAGGCTAAAATCCAAACTGCGTCGAGTCGTGGACAGAGTTGGCTCCGAGAGAGCTGAGAAAAAAAAGAACGGGAGATCGAGAGGATCGAAAAAAAAAGAAAGAAAAAAAAAGGAGAGGAGAGAGGATCTTATCGACAGAGATAAGATACGCAGTTGCGCAACTGCATCGTAGAATTAACAGCATGCAACGATGCACCTGTAACAGCGATTTTCGTGACGTACCGGTGATTTGGCGTGTTTAGCCAAACGACTTGACGAGTCATTAAACAGAGAACACTGGCAATTAATTATCACGTTTGCGTAATCGCCGCTCGACGCCGGTGGAGGTGTGGTTGCGCAACTATCGCTCATTCTGTTCTCTCCTCTCTCGTCTCTCCACGCTCAACCGAGCGATCCCTCTCCTCACCCCTTCCGCGACGATCGGACGGACCCTGCTGACCCGCACCGCGGCCTCCTCGCCACCGCCATTTCCTTCTGCGTCGTCGTCCCAAAACCCACCGCTAATCGTTCCCCTCCCGCCGCTAACCTTCGTTTTCCTTCGGCGTACGTACGTATGTACGTATATACGTACGTAACATACGTTGCCCCGCGCGCGCGCTACCGTTCGTATAAATTATCCGGACACGTTGATCGATCGATCGAAGTATCTGAATTTTACCATCCGAAGTGTATTAACCACGATTGCAAACGTGATATCTGGAATCGTTTATCCCAGACGGATATTTGTCAACGCGTGGTCAAATTAGAAATTCAAATTACCTGTCAATAGCGTGTTAAAATTACAACAAGCGCGATTTGTCAATATCGTATATAACTCGATAGTTTTTAAGCGAGCAACTCGAGATAAGCTCGACAACTTCGTAACGAATTAACCTGATTTCTTAGATTGTTATCAACTCATTTCTCGTCACTGATCCTTCGATCGTGATGGCGATTATATCCTGCGACAAGTAAAATAGTAGAGATATCTTTTTCTGGGAGATATCTTTTTTTTTTTTTTTTTAGCGACAGTACGTAGGCCGTTGTTTTTCTTTCCGATCGATCGTCATCGATCTCGCGGCAGAAGCCAGTTTTCCTACCAGACCCGACCATCGTTACAAACGAGCGAGCGATTCGTCGTACATCAACACGCAAGAATACAGAGTAGAATATGATTCTATTAAAAGACACAGGTTCTCCAATGGGCAAAGAAGATTAAACGCCGTGACGAGTCAGCTCGCGCGACGCGTTTTAGAACGCGTAGGTATGTTCTAGGAACGTTTCGATTTGAAAATAACGCGCGCCACGCGTTGGCAGCTCACACACAAGCGAGACGAAGATATATAATTATACAAATGAAAAGAAAATTCAAACGAAACGAGCAACGAGATATTTACATACACGACTGTGCATAACTTTCGTTACTCGCACTTTCACGTATCATTTAATATTCTTTCTCTAAAGTACTTTTTGGTATTTATTTTCACTTTTCTATATATATATATATATAAAATTATATACAGAAATGTATATAAATAAATATAAATATGTATATATATGTAAAATGAAAATAAATATAAATATATATTTATATTTATATTTTATATATATATATATTTATACTTAGTATTATATTTAGTATTTTATATATATATATATATATTCTTAGTATTTACATTTAGTATTTTATATATATATTTATATTTATTTTCATTTTACATATATATATATATATATATATATATATATACATATTTATATTTATTTATATACATTTATATATATTTATATTTATTTTCACTTTACACATATATATATGTAAAGTGAAAATAAAT